AGCTGCTAGTTTTATGAGCATGTGTGTGTGTGAGGGACAGATAGAGCATTTGTGCTGTAAACTTTATCTTTGCCTGTTATTTCTAACTCTGGAGTTAGTAATCTTGCCTTCATCATTATAGGGGGAGCATGTAAAATATATAAGTAGGTGGCAGATAAACACATTCATGTTAGCCGGGCTCATCACTGTTCCTGGGAACTCCAGCTATCTCTCTCGACTTTCCAGTGCCAAAGTATGGAATGGGATATGTGTGTGCATGTGTCTCCTGTTAAATCCATGTCTATAATACTTTGCCATTTAAAATACAATTTCAGAAGTTATCCTTAATTTAAAACTCTGATATCCTGACAGCAGCTTTCTTCCCAGCTGTAGTGACCCCCCCCCCCCCACCCCATACACACACTTTGGTAAACGACTCAAGTTCCATGAGGACTTTCACTTCTTTATTTATCATCACAGAAGTGAGGTGTTACTTCACATACATACACACACAAAGAATAAAATAAAGAAATGAAACTCGCTAAGCAGACAAAAACAGGCAACTTTCTGCTTAGAAAACAGCCTCCTCCGGTGGGAGAGGATGCACTGCCATATCTAAGAGAAAGACTTGCCCCTGAATTTGGTAGGTTTGTATTGATCAAGTTTTGTAATTATTAACAGGTATTTGCCAAGTTTTAATTGCTGAATACAATGAACTGGAACTAGATGCAAAAATAGAGCAGAATCTCTCCCCTTGAAGAGTTTTCATTCCACCATGTAGTTCTCAATAAAACTTTTCCTAGGCTGGGTAGCAAAAGGCACCTTTGGTTACCTGAATGGACAGGTACAGGGCAAATTATTTGGGGGAGGAAAAAGGAGAGAAAAGGAAGGAGAGAGAGCGGGAGTGCCAGAGAAATCGAAGAAGTCACTCTTGGGGAAAGCTTGCCATAAAGGAGCTAAACCCACCTGAAATTCCTGCCCACAGACACTCCTTCTCACTTCAGACTCACATCCCCACTTAAAAGGAGAAAAATCATAAAAGGAGGGTGGGGGATGACCATACAAAAAAAGAATAAAAAGAGAGAAAAGGGGAAAAAAAAACCTACCTGCGAAGTCTTGTTTGTAGTTTTGGCCAGAAATGGTGAGAAGAAAAAGCATGAAGAAGCCGCGAAGTGTGGGGGAGAAAAAGGTGGAAGCGAAGAAACAGCTCCCGGAGCAAACTGTACAAAACCTCGCCAAGAGTGTCGGGAGGCAGGACCGTTATTCCTGCGGAGCAGGTTAGAACTGATCTCTTTCGGCCACTCCAGGAAACACAAACCTGGGGACGGACTGACGTGTTACGCCTCTTCTAATGACATTTTTTTCTTTTTCTTTTCTGTAGGAGAGAGAGGAGAGACCCTGAAACACGCGCCACCTATCTTTGTGGGGAGGGATAATTGAAGCGCCCTGAGCGTGAGCATCATGTGAAAACGTGATCGCCAAGTTTCTCTCTGGGAAAGGATCTGGGATAGATTATACCTTGAAGTCTCCGCAAACGCTTTAGTGGAAGAAATGAAATTCCACCTCCCTCCCTTCCTCTCTCCCTCCCTCTCGCCTCCCTCCCTCCCTCCCTTCTCCACGCCCCCCCCCCCCCCCCCCCCCCCCCCCCGTCAAGCCTTTGGCATCATTATCCCCATCACTAAATCCTACAGAGTACAGGGCGGAAAACGGTGCACACCATTCACAGAACTGGAGAACTCTAAGGGGCGAAAGTTAAAGGGAAAGATCCCGGGTCCTCAATCCAGATCGCTTCTTCTTCTCATACAGATATTTCTAATGACTAGATTTGAGATGAACATTAAGTTGTGTGGATTTCTCAGCACGTCTTCTGGAACTAAATTCTTTGCCTTTTTTCTTACTTATTTATTTTTTTCTTTTTAGATGGCAGAGCCAGAAAAAAAAAAATGCTACATGTGAACTGCATCTTAGGGTGTGTGTGTTGGGGTGTATGTATGATGAATTTCTGGATTGGATCCCAATACTAAAAAGTAGTTTGGCATTTTAAAAAAGGGTCTCTAAGTAAATTAACATAGAGCGCTGGGTTGACTGATCTCTGAATCTCTCTACATTCAGGGAGACCTCACTACAAAGTGAGGGAGTGTGTGTAGGAGGAAAAGGAGAAAGGCCATAGAGGAACTTAGCAGGAAAGGAAGAGCATGATATTAAACGGCATGGGGTCTAAGTTTGGGAGTATATATTTTTTTGATATTGCAATTAAAGTAAAATTAAAAAGAAAAGACTCCACCTTTGCTCTGAAGGGATTGGTTATGTAAATATGGAAGGGATTTCCTGGAGAATACAGCTTTCTACTGTATGGTTAATTAAATAATCACTCAAAAGCTTCCAACGTGACGCTTCTGTCGTAATCCAATCAGGTTACATAGGTCCTAAACAAGAAAGATATTTTCCACATCTGGAAGTCAGCAATTTAGCAAGTACTGCACATTATTAACCAATTCAGAGCCCACTTCCCAGGGGAATTTTTTTTGAAGTTTAAGTGTTCTTAACCAATGCTCTGCTGTTTTGTTAATCAAAAAGCTGGTTTACACTGCACGTAATTGGAACTAATATAGAAGTAAATAAAGACAGCCAAATTTGAGGATGCTGAGCACAGGCATTTATCGGAAAAGGAAGAAATTTCTTAGCTTCCAATGGTTCAGGCTCAATTTCTTAAAGCACTGAGACCTTTTTTTTTTTTTTTTTAAGAGTGAAAGTGCTTGAGAACCTCAGAGCACAAATAAACTTCCAGTTCCACAGCCTTTGGACTTCCTTGCAAAGGTAAAGGTGGAGGTGTCAAGAGGACTAAACAACCTCACACCAGCTTTTCTGCTTTAATATTGTTAGTGTCACAGCCCCCTGTTTTCAGTCTGATGAAATCTGAAACAGATAACACCCTGATCCAACACTAGACTTTTACTTATATTAAGATAAACTGCTTTGAATTGTGCTTTGAATGTGTGCCTAAAGCAAGACTTTGAATGTAGGAGTCACTTGCAATTGCACTCAGAGGAGGGAAAAGCCACCACATGGGTTGCCACATCCATACTCCCAGAGGTGCATGTCTTTGTATTTTGTATATTGGGGGCGGGGTAGGGGGCAATAGCCATCCAGCATGACCGCAGCCTCTTCTTACTTTGAGATGCAAAAAAGTAAATTTTCACCGTGGTTTACAGACTTACCTCTCTCCCAACTTGAGTAATACAATGAGAATAACTTGATAAATTAATCTTCTTCCCTATACCATTACAGATAATTTACCTATAGAAGAGGAGCATTCAAGATCATCAGTCTAAAAGTTAATTATAAAAAAGGAAAATTAATGATTTCCAATATGGGTCAGACATATTTTTAACTTTATGTTTTACATTACTTTTAATAGTATATATTTATATTAAATATATGTATGACTTATCAAATCCTCCTCTATTTATCTCTATTGTTAATGTCCTTTTTTTCTTCCTCTTCCCACTTTCCTTCCTCTTTATTAAAAAAAAAAATGGAATCCAGCTTTCTCTAGAAGTTTGCTTTTCAGCCTCCCCACTTCCATTCCCATGGAAGAAAGGATCCCATTGCAAGGAATGATTGCAAGAAGACCTCACTGTATTAGCCCAGGTAGTCTTTGGATGGTTACAGTCTCACACACACACTCACAGGCAAAACCTCAGGTCAAAGGATCCAGGGAAGGGCTAACAAATCACTTGTCTTTATTATGTATATTAGTGTCAGGTTACTTAGGATCTGGCTTAAAGAAAAAAAGAGAGAGAGAGAGACTCAAATATTTCCATTAAAAACACCTAATCATCTGATTACTCTGGGCTCAGTAATTGTTGAAGTGGCAGGAGGCAGCCCCAACACTTAGGACTGGGAGTTCCGACTTTCAAGTATTTGATTTGGGGTAAAAAAGCAATCTTTTAGGGTCCCATTAAGGTGTATGTTTGGATGATGGCAAGGGAAGGGTCTCTGAGAGGGGTGAGCGCGCGCGTATGTTGCCCCCCGCCCCTGCCTGGCACGCCCCTGGCACTCCCCTCCTCATTTGACCGAGAGTTCCCACCAACGCAGAGGCGGTGAGATCGGAGGAAGCCGAATATAAATTTGTTCCGAACACTCCCTTAGTCCGAAGGCCAGGTCGGGGACAATGGAGATCGTGGGATCAGCGGGATGCATGAGCACAGGGCGCAGGGAAAAGTCGAGAGAGGACTGGTGCTTTCGGCTCCTCACACAGCAAAACAAGTCCTGCAAATGAATCGCTCCTTCCCGATCTTTCTTTCCCATTAATAATCCATTTCGAGATTAGCGCAGACGAAGGGGATTAAAACAACAGATACAAGTAAATGCGAAATAATATTGCAATCGACGTTGGAGGGAGAAAAAAATTCTTTAGGGTTTCTTTGAGTAAAATAAACTGCCTCCCTCAGGCTTCCCTCCACCCAGGCAGGGTAAGAAGATGCACTTTTGTTTTCCAATTTCCTTCAGCCAGGATCTGGTGCCTGTCCCCCCATTCACCTCTCAGTCGGTCAATTTCCCCAACTTTCACAGCAGTTCGCCCCCCCCCCCCCCGCGCCAGCCCCCAGCTCCGCTTGCCGGCTCAGAAGCCCAAAGAGATACAATGTTTCTGCTCTTGAACACACAGGCTGTAGAAGGAATTCGAATTTGGCCCAGCTAATGAATTTTTTTTTTTATATAGAAAATTCTGTTTATTTTGTACAATGTGGAGAAAAAAAAAAAAAAAAGGAACCTATTCTCGTTTTGAAACGGAATTGATCTTTCATCTAGAGGAATTATTTCAACCCTGTGTTGTTACGCAGGAGGTGGGCAACTTCTTTTAGAGTTGCAAGCAAAGGGTGATAAGGGAGACCCCTGGATTGGGGTGTGTGTGGAGGGGGTGGGGGGCGGCAGGGGTCCAAGCCAAGCCAAACGGTTTTCTCACGTGCAAACTTGCAATCCAATCCATTCGGAGTTGAGCCGAGGATAGGAGGGGGAAATCTATTTAAAAAAAAAAAAAAAAAATCAGGAGCATCTCTCTGAGAAACCCTTTTAAACAAAATCAAAACAGGACCAGAGAACCTCAGACCGACCCTAACATCCCTGCTGTGAGGCCCGCGGGCTGTGGAATCACGCACGTCACCTGGCCCCAGCAGGGCGGCCAGCTGAGGGGTTCTTTTTATTTTATTTTCCTTTATTTTTTGAAGTTGAGGCTGAATCTGGGCTTCAGTGCTTTGCCAACGTCTCCACTGACAGGAACCAGCAAACTTCAGGACTCAAATGAGCGTCTTAATTTATTGATGCAAAACAGGTCTGCTTGTCGCCCCCAATTCTCGGCGCGCTCGGTTCCCCACGCCCCCAGCTTCGGTCCCTCCATTCGATCTCAGGGTAAGGCCCCGCCGCACAGGCGGAGGAGCACGTGGGGGGGGGGGTTGTCCGTCTCCGCCCGCCCGCCCTACCCAGACCTGTACCGCCCGGGAACCCCGCGACCCCCACCCCGCCGCCGGGTCAGCTGACCTGGGTCGCTAGCTAGCCGGCTCCCCGCCCGCCGCCCTGTTTCCGGTCCCCGGGGTCCGCGAGCTGCGCGAGGAGCCGGAGCGGCCGCAGCCGGGAGGTGATGCTGGGGGCTGATTACCATGAGAAAGGCTGTGCCTGGAAAAGCCTCCTCCACGCGACTGTCAATCTCTCCAAGGGAGGGGGGGGCGGGGACGGAAAGGGGCCCTGTAGGAGTCACCAGAAAACTTGGAGTAAGTTGGATGCGACGCAGGCCCGAGGAGGTGGCTTTCGCCTCAACTTGGAAGGCTGTGGCGTTAAGGGCGCGGACGCCAGCAGCCTCGCCAGGGAATTAAAAATCCCAAAGCCTTTCTTTCCTCCCTCCCTCTTGCCCTCCTGTCAGCCCTCCCTGCCCTTTATCCTTATTTTCTTGAAATTCTTTCCCAATTGCATTTCCTACATTCTCCTTTCTTTTTATCTGATTATCTTCCTTTGCAATCTCTTGTTTTGTTTCTTAGCATCCTCTCTCTTTCTCGCTCCCGCTCTGATTCTTTTGTGCCTCCTTTAGGTGTCCAGATTTATCATTTAGTTTTGAAAACACAGTGTTTAATATGTAATTAATCTACCAGCAGGAGGTCAGGGACGCCTTAACTAAAATAACTCCCTGGGTCATCAGAGAGCAAGTTCACCAGGTGTCAGCGAAAAGTAAATCGTAATCATAAATATTAATCAATATCTTAGTAATCAAATGGCTTCTTATTCTCAATCATATCAGCTCAAACTGATTTTTTTTAAAAGATATAATCTTCCTGGAAAAAAAATAATACTTGCTATAGAGAAATGATTTATAATTAAAGCAATGTGGAAAAAATTCTCATTTACAGAGATACTTTAGCAGTACTTAACAGACTTTAGAAATTATGATAAGTAATTTAAAGAAACTGAAACTGTGCTTTATCTTTTAATGTTTATTCAGAAAGCGTCGTAAATTCCCAAAGCACCCTCCTCCCCACAAAGATTGATCACTTCAGAGAGAAACATGTTTATTTTGTACTTGCTAAACAAATTCACAACTTGAGTCACTGGGTTGGTTTCTTGGCCAGGTTGCCCCGTTACCTAGCAGGTGAGTGAACATGGGGCTTCAAATGTCATGAATATGGCTATGTTTTTTGTTTTCCTTATTTTTTTTGTTTTTCATTCATTTTGAGCACATTTGTGTTCACTTATTAAAATTCAGAGTTTGCACTTGTTTACAATTTGTTTACTTTGTTGCATTTTTAGAACTTGTTAGAAGTCAATTGAACATGTATATTAAGCTGCTTTGTAGGCCAAGAAAAATAAAGATGCACTAGAAAGATGCCTTTTATGCTTCATAATTATTAATTGACATTTTATGATGAATAATTAATCATTTGAATAATTTTGGTATCTCTGATCTGAACACATATTTGCATATCTAATGCTTAATTTTAACTGTTTTTTTTTTTTTAAATCATTCTCTTAGGACAAAGTAACAAAGTAACATTTTAATGCAAAATTTCTCTTTAACATTTGTGTAAGTTTATTGAGTTCTATTATTCTTTCTAGATAGCCCTAAAACTTCTTAACAATTTGTAAACCATTTATGTAGTAATCACAGACAAATATGTGACAAAACTACAGTTACTTAGGAAAAACAATATCCTGTGTAAAGTCCATTCACTCTTCTCCCCAAATGCAGAGATACGCACTAATTATGCACCATATTTTTCTTATTGGAATTTGATCATTGAACTTTTTGGTTATGTCTACTTATACAGGTCAAAAAGTGGAACATTGAGACAATGGACAAATAATTAAGACATGGTACTTAAGGTAATTTTACATTTTTTTACTTATTAATATATAGGCTGATTGAAAGTTATTTAAAAATGATCACTCAAATATATCCCTGGAATTTTTATGCCCCTGTGTCAGTCGAAGTCTGAGGTATCTATTTCTGATACTAGCTGTGCAGATTACTACCTGTATGATTACAGGCAACTTACTTTAAATGTGTTTCCTTATCAACAATGTGGGTACGCTAATAGTGTTCATTCCTTAGGGTTTTTATTGGGAATTAAATGAAGTAATACATGAAACATCATTATAATGTAGCTTTATTGTTATAATGAAAAGTTGAAAAAATAACATGGAACATACAGATCAATTAAAGACAGTATAAATTAATTTTGACTACTAAAAACTAACTTTTAGTATCATTCATAATTTTTCTATTGAGAAATGAATGCTGTGTCATTAAGTGAAGAAATAAAATGGAAAACATCATAAGATTTATGGCTGGTTTATGATTCTTTAGACCTGTTCAAGGGATGCATAGCCATAGATGTGAGAATAAATACAGTATTTCTTTATTATGTTAGTTCAGCAGTTAATTTATTGTATTTAAGATGGTCATAATTTGGTTATAAATACCAGACTTCTTTTAATCCAAGTGTATAAACTTGAAGTTTCTCATGTTTTTTAGTAACATACTGTCTTTGAGTGTAAGGGTTAAATGTGCAAAAGCTCAGAAGCGGTCTTGAGTAAGAATTGTGAGGGGAAAAAAGGCAAATTTACAAATTTGGAGACCAGGAATTTGGCTGTCAGAGCATTATTTGCTGTAAGACCATTCATAATGAACTGAACATTCCCTTTTGGAATTGTTGTTATCCTGGGGTTTGTGCTAATTCCAAGTACCTATAGTGGGGGAGAAAATCAGTTTATTAAATGGAAAATGAAATCCCTAGTCTCTTAAACATCCACGAGGCCAGATTTTCTTTTTGATGCAAAAGCTGAAGAATCGATGCAAATGCTAAGGGGAAAAAACTATTGCGATTTTTAATCCCGATACTGATGGTTTTTTGTTGTTGTTGTTTTCTTTGACTACTCAAAGCACTCCAAGTGTCCCTTAATTGTTTCCTTTCTCAGAGGATTCATTCCATACTCCTTGTAGGTCAAAACCACCAAAAGGGCCATTTGGACATCAGCTTAGGGGCTCAGAGTGCCCTGTACCTTTTTCTTTTTCCCTTTTTAAAGGGAAATGGGACCAGCAATCGTTTATACCTACAGATTGTCTGGTGACCTAGAAATAACTTCATACCGATTTGTGGTCTTCTTTAATAGTCCTCATTTTGTTAGAAGGTCAAAATTATAAACTTTGTACTCTGTTCAGTTCTAATTTTGCACCATTCTGGGGGTGATTTTTGGTTGTAAGAGTTTTTCAGGTGCTTAAATATAAAACCTTCCTCTCAAAAATGTTCTTCTCCATGATAATCACAACTATGCAATAATAGTAGCTAAGAAAACAACAGCAACAAAAAACTGGTTCTCTAGGCCTGGCACGTTTAGATGTGACCTAGAAAGAATTGATGACTTTCTCTAGAATTCAAGTGTCTGGTTCTGTGTGGGCCTTTGAATCTGTCAGGGCCGCCTTCCTGGCCAACACCATGCACATGAGCTATCCACAATCATCTCCCCTTCCGCAGATATCTTTCTGAACAACTTGTGCCCACCCACTCTGCACACTCTATCATGATCCACTGCCAGTCTTCCTGGATGTTTGGGTGAGTACTTGTTTTTCCATGTATGGCTTATGCCTTTTGGACCTAATACTTAGGGTCATTTCTCTAGTTACAACGTTGACTCAAGTCAAGTGCTCAGGTCGAATGCTTTCTCTAACTTTGTTGCCTGTGGCTTCACAGGTCAGTTCAGTCTTCTCTCCAGGACCTCCAACTCAGGAAAAGCTCCCATGTGTAGGTTCCTCCTAGCTTACCCTGGCTCCAGTGTTGGGCCCAAGCACAGGACAAGTTAGTGATGAAGATCATGATATCTTCATCAGGCATATCTGGGAATAGTTTTTATTTCTTATACAATTCTTTTATTGCTTGTTGACTGCAAACTAGACATCAGTGTATTTGACCCTAGATTCTTTATATTCTCCTCAATGATAGCATATTACAATGGCAAAGATACAGATTTTGGAATTAGATGAATTGGATTTGATTCCCTGCTTTGTGTGTACTAATTGTGTATTGAGGACAAGATATTAAACCCCTATGAATCTCATTTTAAAAATGAGCAAGAGAAGGGCACCTGGCTGACTTGGTAGATAGAACACGTGACCCTTGATTTTGGGGTTGTGAGTTTGAACCCCACGTTGGGCATAGAGATTACTTAAAAAAAAAGCAAAAGAATACTTAGGTTTTAGCTGATTGTGGTGAAAAAATATAACAATATATGTAAAATGTCTGATACAGGATATGCATATCAATAAATAGGAATTCCTTCTCATGAATTACCTGAAAAGTATATGAAGTTAAATTATAAAAAAGTAGAGTAGATGTAGCATGAGTTTTAGTTATTAATTATACTATTTTAATTATTTTATTGTTATTTATTTTATGATTCTACTAAAAATTATTTAACTGGTTCTTTCTTATACAGACATTAATATTTACTGATAGCAAAGTTAGAAAAATAACATGGAGGGGTGCCTGGGTAGCTCAGTCAGTTAAGTGTCTGACTGTTGATTTCCACTCAGGTCATGATCTTGGGGTCATGGAATTGAGCTCCACATCAGGCTCCACACTGGGCCTGGAGTCTGGTTGGGATTCTCTCTCTCCTTCTCCTTCCGTCCCTCCCCGCTGCTCACCTGCACTCTTTCTCTATAAAGAAATAAATAAAATCTTAAAAAAAAAGAAAAATAACATGGAATTTTTCAGTTTGTAGTAGAAAAGGTGGTGGGGGTTCATGATAACAAACATCATGATACTAGCTTCTAAGATTGTATATTTCACATGTCCTTTTATAATTGTAAGGAAAAGGTATTTTCCCACATCGTTCTCCCTACGTGACCTGGCAAGGGAGGAAGCAGTCTTGTAGCCAGCTCAGCATGGTCAGAAAGTGTCAAAGATCCTATTTGCTCAAGGTAAAATGAAGACGGTCTTAACACTGTCCAAAGCTCTTTACCTACTCTTACCCAGACTTTAGAGCGTTGAAGGAATTGTGGAGGGGGTAGAAGGGATAGAATAGCACTGAGAAAGTTGGCCTGCGGTATCTTCTTCCTGTCCCTCAAGTTGAGTGCTGAAACATCTACTTAAAAAAAGAAAAATAAAAAAGTAAGACTATGTATATAGCACAGACATTGCTTCACTCTCCTGCCTGCAAATTTGGGAGTGGGGTTGGGTCAGCAGGCCCTGGCATGATCTACTGTGTATGTGACTTTTCTACCCTATGCCCTAGAAAGGAGGGTGTCAGGGGACGACTGGGCTGTGGACACAGGGAGCATATTGTTCCAGTGGTTCTACTACAGTGCAAACCAAGCTTCTTTCTCTCTCTCTGGAACTAACTTTGCTACACACACACACACACACACACACACACACACACACACACAATCTATTCCTATTAGGCTTTTCCTTGGCCATTGTGGAACTGTAAGTATGGCTCCTGTGGGTAAATTTTCTGGGTTGAGGACAGCTGACTTACCTATTGTTCTTGGCATATGGCTAGACCCTTTGAGACAAAAGGGACAGAACAAAACTGAATGTTCACAAAAAATCTTGGCCTTTCAAAACAAGAAGGAAACGTTAAAACCTCATTCTTTTAAAGCTTAATTTGTCTATCTAGTAAATATTTGGAATTTCAGTTTAGAGAAATCAGCATGATCCTGAAGTATAGTATTACCTACCATCATCTAGAATTTATATAGGATATTGAAAAATTATTTACAATAGTTTGCCATGGTCCCTAGGTAAAGACGATTTCTACTGAGTTCTGCTTCTACTAGGGAGGGGTCTTGTGTGGCTGAGGGACATATTCAGGATTGGGTGAAGTATGCTTGCATTTGAAATCACTTTGAACTTTGAATTTGGGGCAAAGTAACGTGTTTTATGATACTGAAGCAAAGTACCATCACTTGGAAATTTTTAATCATTGCTTCATTTAGGATCTCTAAATAGTAATTTATTTTAACAAAGGAAGATGACCTATCATTGATGTATCTTTCCCAATCCCCTAGAACAGTGCCTATTATATAGTAAATATTTGTTGTTTTTTGGTGGAATCTGCCATTCATTAAGAAGCTTTAAAGGGAAGTAAAGTGATCTCCCATTTACACTTGTAGTGGCTTGAGATAAGGCTGAGGATAGATGAGGGTAGCAGGCAGGAATCATGGACACTTAGACCCACACACCTCCTTTTTATCAAGTTATGTACCCAGTTACATTATTTAGCACAAACTGTCTTATTCCTCTTCCTCTGTATCAGTTTTACATATGGCCTAAAATAAATGAAGGAACACATGCAGAATTATGTGTATATATTTGTCTTTCTTTTTCAATGACTCTGATGAGTCTTTTCATGGTTGATTTTTACATAAATATATTAAAATTTAATAAGAGGTTTATTCCTGAAAAAGGAAAGAAAGCATAGGGAGGAAATGGACAGGACTAGTACAAGTATGGTTTGCTTACAAAGACCAAGTGTGAAGTTGCAGTTTAGGATAAATGATCTCCTCACCTGCTAACACCACACAATAGCTAAAGAAAGAAAACAGAGAAGATGAGGAGTTGTGTTTTGTTTCTCCTTTAAGTAAATGAGCAGACTCCAACAGCCAATGGGCTAGATGATTCTCCTGCCAGGAGTTTCATTTTCATGGAGAACTGGTAACTGGTTGCTCAAAGGTCTTGAGGTGAAAAGTGTGAGCCTTATTTACAATGCTTTCTTTCTCCAGTACACTTCCCTCTCTCTTCTTCCCTCTGCTTTGGGTCCTATTTCTCAGGGCCTTCACCTCTCCTTACTTTTCTGTTGGTGCTCTCCGTTCCGAGGAAAAACGACCTTTCAAAGATAGCCTGGTCCACAGCCTTCAACAGGCTTAGCTTTTAAATAGTAAGCTATAATGGGAAAATAAGAAATTTCCACTATATTGCAAAAACCTGCCCGGAGGAAACAGAACGTTGACCTGAAATATTGTAAGGAAGGCCAGTTCAATACCATTGCTGTATGTTCCATGCCTAGCATGGAGCTTGGTGGCCAAGAGGTGCAGAAGAATATCTGTTGAATGAATGAATGCATGCATGTATGAATACTGTAGAAAAGAAGCCAGGCGTAAGACAACAGATGCCATTTATTCCACATGCCAAATAAGAGTCAAAAGCATTAATGTAGGTGCAAAAATCACCTGTGGTCATAAACAGGATTCTGATATTATTTTTGAATTCTGAGTATAAGATTTTATTTCCAAAATGAAATACCAAAATCATTTACCAAGCAATAGAGATATAACAGTCCCTCAGTCACTCACTTGCAAAGGAAATTTTCAATACAAATAAAGTCATACATATTTATACTAGGGTAATTCAAAATAACTTCCTCACATAAGCACTGCTACGTTCAAATAAAATCTTGCCAACACTTCTGAGTACATTGCTTTAAGAAAAAAAAAATGCTCCCTGTAGCGTCCGAACTATTTAAAAATCTTGCCAGCTTCTTCAACATACATCAGTTATCTCTCTTTAAATCACTGACAAGAATTTAAAAACTGCTTCATCAGAACAACTGTTACCCTTTCTCATACTCTAGTTAGAACCTGATCTTCTAAAAAGGACCATATTTACAGCTTCTTTTGAAATTTTGAAACCATTTGGCTGATATGTTTTTGCTACATTTTCTTTTCTTGATTTAATTACTGGGGACATTTGCATGAAAACAGGAGGACAGAGACGTAAGATTTTTGTCTTATGAGTTCATCTGTTTCTGATGCTTAATTCCCCACCTGAGATCAGTATTTGTTTTATTATAATTGGGAAGCCAGGATCTGGATTGGAAATGAAAGTTTTTGGAGGTGAAATAAAGTTCAGAAATAGGGACACAGGAGGCTAAGGGATTGGTGGAGGATATGATAATGGATTTTCTTCTGGGTTACTTATTTCCAAGTAGTCATCATGTCAGTGACACATGGTGTGTTACTGAAAAGGTTAGAAAACCAAGGAACTCTACAGAACTGGGTTGGTGCTTCTCTAAGAATACCACACTCAGGCAGTCACTACTCTGTTGTAGGTGTTGACAAGCATCAGAGAAAACAGTGAAGGAGCTGAGCCTAGGTCACACAGGAATTCTAGAGATGGCCACCGGAAGTGGGGAAGGAGATAAAGCCAAATGCCCCACTAATTCTGACCACCTTGCAAACGCTTGTGGTTTTTCACAGAAGAATCAGAGAAGACTATCAGGATGAATTCTGAGCATCTTCACCTGGATTTTCATGGGTATGTAGAATTATACATGGTCAGAGTTGAAGTCATATCTTCTAACTTTTCACGTTCTTCCTGAAGGGCACAACTGTCCATCCAGTCTTCCAAGCCCAAATTCTGAGGTGACTTTTGACTCCTCTCTTTAAAAAAAAAATCCATACTTCATCGCCCAGCAAATGCTAATGCTCTTACCTCCACAGGTTCCTCAAATGTGCTCACATTCCCCACATCCTCCACACTGACATCCCTGCCCTATCCCAGGTACTCATCATCTCTTTCCTGGAAGGCTATGCCCACCTCCCAGCTGGCTTTCCTGTTTCCCATCTTTCTTCCCTCATGTCCATTCTCCACACCATCTCCAGAGTGAATGAGTGATCTGAAACATATATCTGACTGTGGCACCGCGGAGCCTAAAAGCCATCAGCAGCTCCCCATGACGTCACTGTGGTGCTTCTCAAACTCACCTAACCCCAAAGATGGAGCCCTGAAGATGGCTATTTTCATATCATACCTATTAATTAATACTTATATTTAGCCATTTAACCTTTGCTCCTCTTCCACAGTTTTGGGTAAAGTTGAGACCCCAGGTAGGTGGACCAAGTTAATCCTGCCTGTTCCCCGGGTGTGAATCCTGCAGTGTGAGAGGCTTAGTGCCAGTGCCATAAGCCACGGTTCTTTAGCCAAACACACGAAGCCCTCTGAGGTCGAACATGTTCTCTTCTTCACTCTCCTCTCCTGCCAATCCTCAGATGGCATATTATGCTTTTGTACTATTGTTTGTATTTCCGCCTAAACAAACCATTTCATTCCCGATGTTAGGGAAGTTGCCTATGCTATTTACTGGGAATATGCTCTCCTATCCCTTCATTTGGCTGACTTCTGTGTTCATTCCTTGACTCAGTTCACATGTCATCTCCTCCTGGAAGCCTGAGGCTGGCTCCTCTGTGTCCTCATGGCACTTGGCACTCTGCACTGCTGTCCTTCCTTTATATGTCTTCTTTCAACCACAGTAAGTTTTCCATGAGGCCAGGGACACTGCCATTTTCATCTTTATACCCTATTATGGGCTGAATGTTGTCTCTCCCAGAATTCATTTTTTGAAGGCCTAATTCCCAATGTGATGGTACGTGGAGGTAGCGCATTTGGGAGGTAATTAGGTTGAGATGAGGTCGTGAGGGCAGGGTGCCCACAGTGGGATTAGTGCCCTTGTAAGCAGAAGAACACAGAGAACTTGCTCTCCTCATGCACATGCACCAAGGAAAGGGCATATGAGCCCCCAGCAAGAGGTGGCCATCCATAAGCTAGGAAGCCAGTTCTCGCCAGGAAGTGAATCCCCTGACACCTTGATCCTAGAATTCCCAGCTTTCAGAACTGTAAGAACTAAATGTCTATCGTTTAAGCCACCCGGTCTATGGTATTTTGTCGGAGCAGCCCGAGCTAAGACATAGCCTCAACTCCTAGTTAGTATCTGGCACACGGTGGACACTTAAAAATACATTTTGAAGTAATGTGAATATCATGGTACAAGTTTTCCACCACTGGACAAAGAACTCCAGGCACATGCATGTTCTAGAGATAATGCATTTAGCTGCAGGAGCACTCTAGCGTTCCTGCACTTCATATTAATAGGGGACCGAAAAGTTGGAAAGGTCTCATTGTAGTTTTGAATAACTTATATTTAGTTTAGACATGCATTTGCAAAAGTATTCAAATAAAAATAACTTTCACATGTAAAACATTTTCAAATTTCAAAGCTCTTACATATGTATTATCTTCACTTGATCCTTACAATAAACTTTCAAGGTTGGCAGATATTATTATGCCCAATTTGGAAAAGCAGGAAATTAAGATTTTGATGGAGTAAGACAAAATAATCAAACCCATTTTGGAAGTCCCAAGTATGTTTCAGAAATGGAAGCATCTTTGTGAAACTGGCAAAGAGCAAACTTTAGTATTCTTCTGTGACAGATGAAGAAATAGGGTGTTGAAAGGACTGGCTCAGAGTCACAGGGGGCCACCGTCAAAGTCAAATTGAACTCTGTCCTGTGACTCAGATTAGTCCTGATACACCCATGTACATTTATGTGTACATATTAGAAAGGGAGCCTTGGTTTTAGGAGAGCAACCTGAAGAAATTTTTTTTCTTCTCTTCCATAACTTTTGTTACTTGTCTCCAGTACATAAAGACACCAAATAAGAAACAGAGTTGTTCAAGAGAGTAGTTTGGGAGCAAAATTGGAAAATTATTTTGGTTTATTTGAGATGGGAGAGTAGGGACAGCAAGGATCATATTGAGCCTGAACATTTAAAAAATAATTTCTTGCTTTCATTATAAAGTCATAAAATACTTAGTTTTAAGTAAACATAATGAGACCATCTCAATATATCTTACCTGTAATGTTCTACAGTTTTTTCCCCTGATAAATGTGAAGCCCAAGAAAAGGTGTATTTATTATAGTTCTGTTGCTGAAGGAAAATGCTACTTCCAGCAAGAGGCTGTCTTTTACTTCTGTTTACTTAGAATTTTGTAAAGCAAATTTGGCAGATACTCTTCTGAGGGGAGAAAAATTTCACATAAGTTAGGATGGTAGATAAAAATGTATTATTTATTTGTGCTTTGAGTCACTCTGGAGAGGCCAGTAATACAAAATAAATTCTGCATAGACTATGATGCAATGACTGAATGCAAAGATATTTATAATCTTCCTCCTACCTACCCCTAGAAATTGGTTAAACAGTTTTACAAAGTATGTCCTTACGTGTAAATTGTTAAAGTTATAATGTGTTGACTAATGCATCAGGATTATGGGCCAATTAGTAAATTCAAATATGGGATGGGCACTTCATTTCCTAATGAATTGCTTGACAATTACACACATGTATCACATAGTTATTCATTCAGCAAATGCTTACCAATTGCCTACTATGTGTTAGGCTCCATGCTCAGAATAAGGCTACAACAGTGATCAAGACAGACCTGATTTTTGCAGGCTGGCAAGGAAGACAGACGGTGGGTGAGTGATGAATGCTATTGAGAGTATAGACAGCAGGCCCATCCAGCCAAATGATAGCTACAAAATAAAGTGAAGGCAAGAGTAGATCTTCCTAATGCATAAAAGGTCAGGTCTTTGAAATCCATTAACCACCACCGAAATTAGTCTAAATCACCTGTGACATATTATAACCCTTCCAGGCGGGGCTAAAGGCATGTTGGGACATCAGAGCAGGCTGGGAAGGAGAGAGGAGAAAGCCTAGTATCAGAACTTCAGGGAGGGAGGCCAGTGTTCCAATGACAATAGCTAGAGGGCTTTGATGCACAAAGCTCATGAGAGGCTGACCTCAATATCCAGGGCTCATTCTGGTGGGCGGTAGCTGTTCTTGCCAAGTATGAGGCAGTAGATCTGACTTTCTGGGGGTTCTGTTTCAGTGGAAATAGGACCCCAGTCAGCTGCTGGGTCTCACGCTCGGATAGGCTCTAGCTACTGACAGGAGGATCCTGGCAAGGACTAGACAGATTATCAGGGGGGGAGCCTCAAACTGGGGCTCAGGTTGGGGCCCTTATTCCAGGAGAGAACCAAAGTATGAAATGGGCACCAAAGCAGGTACAATGAATTATCAGAAGGGGTTGGGTGTTGCGGGGGGCTGTTCCTTCCGTGGCTTTAGGGTGTGTTGGTCCTCCCTAGATGGCAGGCTCAGTGTCTCTTTCCTCAGTGTCCTCTTCTGGCCACCACAGCTCCTTTCTCTCGCATCTCTTTGTATTCCAATACTCTCTGTGATGCCCAAATATCGAATGAAGCCTCTGTGTACACCAAGAACAGCTCATAGCTTTTGAGTGTGGATTTGGCTTTCGTTGGAATGATACTATTTTTAGTGTCAGTTCATTAGAATATAGGTAGTGCTTGGGTTTTTGCTGTGAAAGGTAGGATGCTTAAAATTTAAACAAATATAAACAAACAACTTCAATATTTTGGTTTATTTATTGATTCTAATGGCAATACCTTTTTTTTTTTACCTAGAACAACAAAAAATGATAACAAAACTATAAAGAAGCCTTTAATTAGTGAGTGCATGAGTTTTGTTTTCTTAGGCATTTTTCCTCTTGACTTGTGAGAACTAAATAGCATATCCACATATGTTGTTCCTATGTAGTGGATTACGTCTTTAGAAGTGAGCCCAATAGATATAAGCTTATAATTTGTTTGTGTTTTGCTCTTTATTTTTTTAAAAAATCACATTAAAGATGGGACTTTATTTTCTGTTTGAATGTAACTCCACTCTTATGTCTATGTTCCCAGGCGTGTGTGTGTGTGTATATATATATATATATATATATATATATATATATATATATATGTATATATATATTTAAAAGGTGGAGCTACATAGCACAGGATTCAACTTGACAAGTGATTTTGGCCAAGTCCCTTACTGCCGTTGGGCCTTAGCTTCTACATCTAAAAACATAAGATAATAGCACCAACCTATTGGGACCACGATTGAGAGCAAATGCGACAGTGGGGATCCAAGTGTGTGTTGCTTGTGAAGTACCAGTGCAGGTGTTTGGTATTTATATTCAGATGCAGGTTATGCTCACATCATATAAGAATGTGAATGCGTTCAAAAGCTCAACTAGTTCCTGAGGCAAGAAATGTGAAATGGCAATGACTAACAGGGTCAGTGAAACTCTTGGCTTCTAACCAATCCTGTACAAAATCTTTCCTAACCACATATTTTGAAAGATGAGGAAAGATAAAGGAATGAAGAGAACTGCCTTTTTTCTCTAACCCTTAAAACATTTTTTTTTTTCTTCCCAAGAAACTGAGCTATGGAAGCTTGAGGCCTAACTCAGTACTGAAGGTGGTCATTCAAAGAACTGTTTAGAATGTTGTATTTATGAAAGTGAGGTGCCATGAATATGTACTTGTATCAGACAGAGGTGGACATGATCAGAACAAGCTTGTTCACAGAGCCCTTCTCTCTGCTTGGCCATGAGTCACAAAAATCTGACATCTGGACATGAAATGCTTCCGTGAACAAAAGTTGAAACCTGTGTGTGTGTGTTTAATATGTAAAGGAAGAATGAAATTGAGACACCAAACTCTTTCATTGACTCAAGTTTAGGGCCAGATTTTAATAATGTGGCTGTCCAGATGTGAGACACTAATGAGAACATAAGGAATTCCTGGATAGAAAAGGGATGGTTGGCCCAATGGCCTGTCTCCTTCAAGTTTATTGCAACACACCTCTCTGTGTTGTCAGCATATCTTCCAACCCCTTTGCCTACATAAACATGTCCAGCTGTCTCTTAAACTCATTTTTACTGTATGTTTCACTCAATGGACTTATTTGGTAATTTTTAGTGTTTTCCATATGCTGGTAGATCTTTGGATGAAGTAGTCCTACATTATCACTACTTCTAATTAATCACATGAAGTATTTCAATAACAAAATGTAGCAGATACCATTGGAAATTTGGAAGAAATCAAATACACCTATAATAAATTTAGAAAGAAATAACTGTTATTTTGCTAATCTACGTTTTCATCTTTCTTAAAGATGTGAAGATGTAAGTGGGGAGTGATTAAGGTGGGTAAACATAAAAAGTTTCTTGCACTGTATTAGTTTCATTAAAAATTTCTTAGCAGAAGAAAATGCTAAGCTCAAGTGATATAATAAAGAAAAGGATCTGATGTTTTATTTTGGTTGGGTTAAAGCCATATTCCAGATAACATTTTACTTCCTTAATTATATCAATATTTCAGGCTAACATGAATTTGAGTTGAATTATTTAAAAAATAGAATCAGTTCTCTGAATCAATATAGAAATGATCTTACATTAAAACCCTTTTTTCAAAATTTTCCAGATTACTGGGGACCAGGGGACTTGGGGTGAATTCTTAGGTTGACCATGGGTCCTTCTTATTGGAAAATACACCTGAAAATTTCCTTGAGGATTTGATGGGAGCTCATTGAAGCAGAAATAACTAGGTGTTCATTAGCCGAATATTTTGCATTTTCATTTTTGAATGCCGTTATTTTAAAATTATTTCAATATATGTGTGTTGATTTGATGTGCGTGTCACATCAAATCATATGATTATATGTCAGTTTTAGTCTTTTATTGACAAACACTTAGGGTGGACCAACTTGTCCAGGCTCACACTGGCATTTCTTACTTTTAGCCTGAAAGTCCCACTTGCTATGAAATCCCTCAGCTACCGACAGACAGGTACTTCACAAACACATACGGAAAAAAAAATCTGCCACTAAGATTTGCTTGGCTTTTTGTCTGCATACTCTTCAGACTCTGGGAACTCAAAAAGCAAAGTGTTACATCAGCATTAAGGATTTTACTCTCTTGTTATAACAACAACCTATGTTAAGGTGTCAGCGCCTTGGTGACTAGGGTGAAAGATGATCCATGCGATTTTTTTTCTTTTAAGTTGTTTCTAAGCTCAGATGCATGATGTTTTATTTAAAGAGAGAGAGCGAGCTGGAAAATGTTTAAAAATCAAACCTATTTTCTTCCAAACTTTTCTCCCCCGAGTCCCTTGCTCTCTAGACACGCTGTAAGATACATCCTAAATCTAGCACCTTGAACAACCTCCAAAATCTCTGAAGCCCAAGCTATATCTTATTGTCCAGGTTATGGTAGGAAAAAATTATCTACATTGAGTGACTTTAATCTTATGTGCCTCACAACTGGAGGGATTCTGTAAGTATTTTTCTACTTTTTAAATTTGTGGATGGTGACTTCTGAACTTTCTCATGGAGGAGGTCTTAATAAAGAGCATGCCTGAATCCACTTCTTAATAATTTTTAGATTCAATGAAACCGTTTACAGGATTCCTCTTCCTAACAACTGCTTTGCCAAGCATTGTATAAAATAGCATTCTTCATGGGTAGATGATCCCATGGAAGGTGACCAAAAGATTTTAAATACAGAGGAAAGGAACCAGCCACTCAATCAGAATTTGTACATTTTTCATATGTGTGCTGTGTCTCTCTGGTAGCTTCTTGTTTGGTGCATGTGCATGTGTGTGCATGTGTGTGTAAACACATAGCATTTAGTTACAGAACGTGTCACAGATTTCTTTCCTGGTCACCATGCTGCATGACTGATCCATTTCATATGATGTGTTTAGTATGGTTCATTGCCCACTGGTCTTATTATTTAACAATTTGCATTAAATTGAATTTTCTATTTACAGGTGTAAATGGAAATTTTGGCTTCTGAGAATTTATTATTTACTGGCTAGAATGTTCTTGGTTGAATTAGCTCTGCCAATATTGGATTGTGTATACCTGGAATAAAGTTTGGGATATTTAATTAGAATATCATCATCGTGAAAGAACTTGTTATTTTTATGGCTAAGCTTGAGCTACTGAGGCCGGATCACTATCATTAGTCTAGGAGACATTCACCATAATTCTTTAGAGGTTTTTAAAAAACCATGTGTATTTCTTGATGGATCAGAGGAAGTTAAATTAGTGGTAATGTGTATAAATTACTCAAAAGTTCAAAAAGCTTGAAACCTTTATCATCTAAAGTAACATTTTGTTGATAACTGGACATTTCTCATTTTAAACTCTTGGTTTCCCACAGATTCAAGGAGCTAATACTTACTGACTTCATACTATTTGCCAGGCTCTGGCTACATCCTTTACCTATTTCATTAAATCCTCAAAGTATCTTGTGAGGTGAGCATTATGTTTGTTACCATTTTACAGGAAATGGATGCTTAAGAAAGATCACAAACTTGCCTGCACACGTGCCCAGTGCACTGCTGTGTGCAACTCTTCCAAGTCCATAGCGATCTCCATCTCTCCTTGTTCTCTGTCCCCTTCTCCCATGTCCCGCTCCCACTCAACCTCTTAGTGTTGCAGAAGATGCTAACACCATTCCCTGTCTTGGGCTTTGGACATGTGGTTCCATTTTTACCTTCTGTGCCTGGCACACTCTTAGTTTGTTTTCAGCTCCAGCCCTGGAACGGTCACCAACAGTCACTATCCATACTGGATCCAGCAGAAGTCTGGCCAAACTCCTAGGACATTGTGTGTGTGTGTGTGTGTTTTAACATTTTTATTTTTAGCTTCTTTCTCTCTCTCTTTAAAACAGATTGAGATAGTTGACCCATTTTAAGCCTTCTAATGGGCCCATTTTAAGCCTACAATTCAGTGGTTTTTAGTATAGTCATGGATACGTGCAACCATCACCAGAGTCAATTTTATTTTATTTTTTATTTATTTATTTGAGAGTGAGAGAGAGCACGAGCAGGGTGGAGGGGCAGAGGGAGAGGGAGAAGCTGACGCCCTGCTGAGCAGGGAGCCCGGCGTGGGATTCGATCCAGGGACTCCGGGATCATGACCTGAATGGAAGGTAGACGCTTAACTGACTGAGCCACCCAGGCGCCCCCAGAGTCAATTTTAGAATATTTTTGTCTCCACAAAGAGAAACACAATATTTTTGTCTCCACAAAGAGTAGTTCTCACCACTCCCCCCATCTCCCTCAGCCCTAATCAACCACTAATCTTTCTGTTTTTAGAGATTTGCCTACTGCAGACATTTTATACAAATGGAATCACATAATGCATGCATGGTCTTGTTTAACTGGCTTCTTTCACTTAACATAATGTTTCAAAGTTCATACATGTTGTAGCATTCATCAGTACTTCATTCCTTCATTCCTTACTATGGCCGAATAGTACTCCATTATGTGGATATACCGCCTTTTATTTTCCCACTTGGGTTGTTTCCACGTTTTGGTGATTGTGAATGGTGCTGCTATGAACTTTCATGTACTATCATCTGTTTGAATATCTGCTTTCAGTTCTTTGGGGGGTGTACATAGGAGTGAAATTGCTGGGTCTTAAGTCTATATTACACTTTTTGAGAAGCCCCTAAACTGTTTTCCATGGCAGCTGTGGAATTTTATATTCCCATGAGCAATGTATAATGGTTTAAATTTCTCCACATCCTTGTGGAAATAACATTTGTCATTTTCTATTGTTTTTCTTGTTGTTGTCATCAGTGTTGTTGATTTTTTTTTTTTTTTTTTTTGGTTGTAGCCATTCTAGTGGGTATTAAGTGGCCCACTGATTTTTAAGATCTTTTAAAGGCTTTTCAAGAAAGCTTTATTCTATTCTCTTTTGTGCCCTCAAGAATGGTTTATAACTCCCTTACATTATTTGTCATCACATCCTGTAATCTCTCTTTCTCTGCCTCCTTATCCCCTTCTTGAAACTGCAATGGACAGTCTTGTTTCTTCTGTATTTCCAGGGCTCAGGACATGCTTGTGAATGAGTGAATAAAGGAATGGAGGGAGTTGTGAGGACGAGTGTTGGGAAGTAGCATTTCCTATGATCCCTCTATTGTGCCAGGCACCGTGTAGCACCAACATGTCCTATCTCATTTAATTTTCATAAGAATAGTAATAATGTGTTCATTTCACAGAAGAAGAAGCAAACCAGAGACAAACTCTTGTCACCCAACCCCTGAGCATAGAGCTTGACTTCAGACCCAACCCTCTCTGAATCTAAGACCTGTGTTAATTTCATGACACGTCCCACCCGATAAGAACGTAATAAGGCCCATTACTACTCTTTTTCAATTTTATTTATTTATTTATTTATTTTATTTTTATTTATTTATTTTTTTAAAGATTTTATTTATTCATTTGATGAGAGAGACAGCGAGAGAGGAACACAAGCAGGGAGAGTGGGAGAGGGAGAAGCAGGCTTCCTGCCGAACAGGGAGCCCGATGCGGGACTCGATCCCAGGACCCCGGGACCATGACCCGAGCCGAAGGCAGACGCTTAACGACTGAGCCACCCAGTCGCCCCACTACTCTTTTTTTAAAGATTTTATTTATTTATTTATTTGACAGAGAGAGAGCACAAGCAGGGGGAGCCACAGAGGGAGAAGGAGAAGCAGGCTCCCCGCTGAGCAGGGACCCTGATACGGGGGCTCCATCCCAGGACCGGGGATCATGACCTGAGCTGAAGGAAGGTACTTAATCGACTGAGCCACCCAGGTGCCCTCATTCCTACTCTTATTACTGCTACTAGGACTACCTCCACCTATTGGATGCTTACTGGTGCCATACACCATGACAGCTAAATTTTGGATACCATCTAATCTAATCACTTTAAGAACCTAGTGATTCAGACATTATTATTATTTCAGATAATGGAACAGTCACTGAGAAGTTAAGTAATTGCCTGAGAATAAACAGCCAGTAAGCCATGAAGTCAAAACCAGGGTCTGTTTAATTGCAAAGTGTAGGTCCTTCTAGCAATATAGGAAAAATGCATTAGAGACCTGAAAGTTTCACCTGGTTACCTGACAGTTGTGAGGTCCATCAGGAAATCAGGCAACCAGAATTGCGCAACAATTTTTCCAAGTACTTTTGTCTTTTTAATTGCCTCCAATCGTGATTTTGGTGATACAGATATTCTACTATGTATTATGAAAAAAGTACTCTGTGACCCTAAAAGAATGTTCTGCTCACTGGCTCATTATGTTTTAAAGATCTTACCTATAATATATGTAAAATATACTACATCTGATCAAACAATTTTTTAGATAGTAGTAGTAAATTGGCTATCCTTGCTTTTAACAATTTGAGCATTCATTCAATATTTTTGCCACAGAGTCATTTTTTCTTTTACTGTGTAAATTCTACCTTAGAGCTGTATAAAATACTGGTAGGAGTTCATGGTAAAGATAAACAAGAAACATTATAACTAGTATAGAAAATTTTAAAAATATAGCTTGATTTTATACTAATTTATATACTTTGATTGAAGAGGATCTCTCCAGGATTCATACTAGGCTATTAAATATTGGGAAACCTCTGCATGGCTCTATTTTGGGGTCAGGTGTAAGTGGAAAAGAAGAAGCATCAGATGACCTTAATTAATTTTAATCAGTGTATTTTCTCAATCCGGGTATCCTGTTTTGGTGTTTCATTCATTCTTCTTGTGTCATGCTCTTCATTGCTCTTCATGCCTTTTTCAAGGATTTTTTTTTTTTTTTTAAATAGAGGCCTATGTTACCATTTGGCATATGTCTCCCTTGTCAGTGACATCTTGAAAATTAAAAAAAAATAATACCTCCCTCACACGCATCCATTCAGGCTGGCCGCCTGTAACTACACCATGCTTCAAAATGTGTCACCTTATTAAATTCTGCAAATTGTGCTGAACATTGTCTCTATAAATGTTTTGGAAGGGCTTTACTGTCAGGTCAGCTTTCTAAGGGCTAGAAATATGTCAAACCTGGCAGCCTTACCTTTATTTAAGAGCCAAAATACAAATAAGTAGATTACAAAGCAATCAATCAATACAGCATTGCAGGATGTTATGGTTGGCATTGACCTCAGAGTTCTGCACCCTCATTTTACAGATGAATAAACTCATCCGTAAGCTCTGCAGGAGATGGGGTTTTGCCTTGACTCAGTTACAGCTAGCAAGGTAACCCTGGATGTTCTGCCATGCCTCAGTTTCCTCATGTGAAAAAGAGGAGCTTTCCTTTTATTAGATAATCCCTCAGGCATTTTTCCACTTCCAGTTTCTATGGTGCATTGACAACATATATTGTATTGATACATTTCTAGTCATTAAAAAGTTTCTGACCTCCTGCAGAATAACTCTTCCAATCTTTTACGGGGACTCCTTATATATTTTTTTAAAAGTCAGATATGCTATCAATTTATAGTTATTGGGGAAATCATAAATTTTATCCACTGTCGAAAGAATATAACGAACGAAGATCTTTCCCCTGTTCTGAGCATTTCTTCACTTTTTTCCCTCCCTGGTTTGTTGTTTTAGGGTTGCTTGGGGATATTAGGTTATTGACCTTTGTTTATCTTTCGACAAGAAGCTTTCACTAAAGTATTTTTGGGGGGTTATATAAGAAACAATGGCTCTCACATGCAAGTAATTACATGGATATAAGGCAAGAAAAAAGTGGCACATATTTAAATTGATTAATTTTCTTTCTGAAAACTTGTGGAACCTAATCTGAAAGCTACGTGCAAGTGTGCATGGGCTTTCTGAGAATACTTCCTCTCTTCTGTTACTCTGAAGTCTCTGGATGAGTTTAGTCCCCCTGAAAGGCCTGGGCAGGCAAGTTTGGCAAACAATCTAATCTGATATGATGCACGCTTTTCTACTCAACTGTAAAAATCTATTTCATTCAGATATCACCTGCTATTCTTATGGCAAGTCTTTGGAATAGAGATCCTAAATGTGTCAAAAATGTGTAATGCATTTGTGATCGAAATAAATGGAGACGAGGGTGACTTCAACTTGCTTTCACATGTGCTGGCCAGCACTTGCAGAATTCAAAGTAGGTTATGTTAGCCTTCACACTTTCAATGCCTTTATGGAGGTGGTGTTTATATATCCTAGATTTTCCAGGGCAACCCTGGGTTGTAAATATTCTGTCCTGTTGTTCCATAAGTGCAATCATACTTGTCAAGCTATGTGTCATGAGTTTTGGTTTGGAAAATATGGACACCGTATGTCCATCAGAGCCTGTTTTTCTGGCTTGATGCCTTATGCTATTGCTCTACCATGCCCTACCCCTAGCCCACTTCCCATTCTCACCAAAGGCTTGTTTCTGTTTTAGTCCGCTTGCTTTCTCAGACTAGTGTCTAGGGGACAATGTGAACAGTAAACTAATCTGTGCTAATGGGCAAACAGAAGAAAATCAGGGTCAGGAGGATCTGTACATCCAGAATGTTCTGTCTCCCCCCAGGTAGACCGAGTGGCGCTTTGGAAATAGTGCCTTGACTTCATTTATCTCTAAGACAAAGTCGTTCTATGGGTGGTTGGCGGGGACAGATTTCTTACAGGAGGCATGAGCCCCCCATTTTGCTGCAAAGATGGCTTCCACCCTGTCGATATCTTTGGCTGGCTTTGCATACGTGTCCCAGATATGATTAGATCTCTGTAACAGTAGGAAAGGAGTAAAAGGCCAGTATAATTTTACTTCTCTGCCCACAATAATTTCTTCTGGTATGTGTACACTGCTCAGATGCTCTTTTTACAAAGTTGGAAAGTAAAATTGTTTTATGACAATATTTGCTGAGACAGCAAGATAAATCTTTGCCTCTCCATTGTTAAATCCCTGCCCCCCACTGAACTCTGACTTAAAAAAAAAATTATTCTTTAATGAGGAGGCTCAGTTTAACATTTGTAGAAAAATGTTTAGGATTATTTGAAATATTTTGTAGATTTCAAGTTCATTGCCTGCCATTTTCCTTTTAGCCTAACCTTGTTATTTCTGTTTATTTTATGTGATTTTATTACTTAAACATATAAAGATTTCTACTAACTGTCCAAACAGCTTGCTTTTAAAATCTCTGCTTAACCACTTTTATTTGTATCACGTTTTTTTTTTTTTCTTGTCTTGGTTTAGTACTTAACTGTGATAAATCTCAACTGAATCTCCTTTAACTCTTTAAAAAATAACTTCTCATTCTTCTGTGTTAAGCAGTTTACCTTTTAGAAATTCAATCAGCATTCCTTTTGGCAGTTTGTATTATCTTAAAAAGCCGCATTAGTACCTTGACTTTTCAGTCCTGGGAGCATTTGCTGAACCAGATGCTTTCAATATCATCTATTATTTTTAATCATACATGGTTAAATCTCAAGAACATTCTCTTGAGATTGTTGACTACTTAGGAAACTGGAATAGCAAGAAGCACACGATATCTTTAGAAACAGGATACAAACTTAGCTTCATTATTATCCTAATCAATATCTGAGTAATTAAGCTGCCCTATTATCAAATTCAAGCTTTCCTTACAGTCTATTATCTGTTTGTTTTTCCTGATCCTTTATGTCTACATTCAGCTAATTTAATGTTAACATTGTAGAGTCACCTGGTCTCTTTTGTTAACTGTAATCTTCTAATAATTGTATTTAACTGAGGGATCAGTATGTACCAGACATATTAACCTCTAAAACCTTAACGAGCAACCTGAGAGATTGGTATTATTATCCCCATTTTAACAGATGGGAACATAAATTTTGAGTGGGTAAATCATATTTTTCCAGCTCACAACCAGTGAGAATGAGGCTGAAATTCAAACCAAAGTCTGACTTAAAAACCCCCACTTCTAACCACTGTGCTATAGTACTTCCTGTTAATGAAGGATAAGGGTGTCTGTTATGTAAATCAACATAGTCATTGACAATGGACTTCCTTCTTTTAGACTGCAATATGCATCTATGAAAGTATTTATTAGTCTTGTCTGCTTTTCCTTTTTTATTTGAAAAATGCCAAAAAATGCATCATATATTCATAAAATCATATAAAATAAGAGCGAAAGATTTCCCCATCCCTCTAAGATCTTAGAGTCCTTAGTATGTGTACTTTCAAAGTTCTCCTAGGCATATCTAGACGTGACTCTATAGATCTTTCCTTATTGATTTTTAAAGTGTTAAGGTTTATTACTAAAATTACTCCATCTTATCACTTCTTGCTTGCATAGGGAACATATAAAACTTTACTCCTCTGGACAAAGACTGTAAAGTATCTTTTTCCTTTTTTTTTTTTGGTAAGGATTTTGAGAGTCTAAGCTGTGAATCGGTGAGGCAAATGTTTTAAAAATATTGATTTTCCTTTTTTTCTCCTGATACTTGTCCACTGTTAGACTGTAGGAAGAGAGGTTTAGTCAAACACTTAATATTTCATCGTATCCTTTCTCTAAGTGGATGGTTAGAGATTCTTACAAATCCTTTCCTCTTTTGGATCAGAAACATCTTTTACAAACAGACATTTAACATACGCTTTTTCAGGCTTCCATCCTCTACTAAAAGTGGGTGTATTTTCATATTGAACAGTGAGGCAGGCAAGGATGAAGAGGCTAGAGGAGAGGGGACCGTCACAGCAGAAATGACAGCAGCCGGTCTTTGGCCCCTTCATTCAGCAGGGCATTCTCCTCTCCTCCCGTGGACTCCAACTGAAGGCTATAAATCTGTTATATGTCTGCTTAC